ATTTTTAGATTTATATCTTATTTATTTAGCTCAATATAAAATTTCAAAAAGTGTCCATAATGCTATGCTACCCCACTATATTTCCTAAAATCATGAGATTCAGATTTGCAAAATGATGAAGATTAAGTTCAATTATAAATAAGGCTTCTCTGGTTATCATTATAAGATTAGTTTAAATATTCTAATCTTTTAAAACTTGCATATGACCTGTTTTCTTCTTTATATAAAAGACAAAATCCTAGTTATAATTGTATTGTCAGTTTTCAGTTTATTCAGATACTATACCTTATCCGGAAATTAAAGAAACTCTCTAGCGTATATTTTAGTTGTGATGCGCAAACAACATAAATAAATATCTAGAATTTTGAGATATTCATCAGCCTTTTTTAGCTCATTAAATTTTTTGAAAGCTTCGTCAACCCATTATAACATTTGTTTGTAATATAGTATGTTAAAAATGACATACTTTATTTATATCTATTTTATTGATAGAATACTATATAATAATAAAATTCCTAATAAATTGTCTATTGACTTAGAAGTACTATATTGATTTAAATATTATTGATAAATTGAATTGATTTTAAAATAAAATCATAACTATATCATTAATATGATATAGATTATAGATCAAATTTAATTTTTAAATTTTTTGCCATCGTAGGGTAGTTTACTCTTCCAGAAGATTTGTAAAAAGGGTAATTCGATTTTATCAGGTGTTATAATACGTGTGGTTTTTTGGAAAAAATTAGAAAGTGGATTTACGACATATTAAAAGAATAAAAAAATACAAATAATTACCAATTAAGTTATAGGTTGAAAGTTAAAAGGTTAGATCAATATTGAAAGAATAACTACCGCTACTGTTGCGAGAAAAATTAGGAGATTCAATAATATTACAATCTGGATTCTGTTCAAAAAATCCAGATTTTTATATAATTCGTATGCAAAATATATTTAAATACTGGTATATTTTGAACGGATTGAACAGATTGAATTATGAATTATATGAAATACGTCAATCTGCATATCGATTGATATGCAGATTATCTGAATTTGAATTTAATCACATCTATAATCGATATTATTGTGTTATATAATACTTATAGCAATCGTATTCAATATGAATAAATTTTGTAGTCTATTTTTGATACAAACGGAAAATTTTTCTTGCATGTACAAATAATAGACCACTTTGCTGTATTTATTAATTCAATTTAAAGTACAAAAAATGAATTACTCAGACAAATGCATCTGTCAAATTATTAATTTATCATAAGTATTATTTTAAATAGATTGAATTTTGTAACTCTGGTAAACATAATTTTAAAATATAATTTCAAGCAAAATTAATTTTGGGCATAACTTCAGGCAAGATCAAATTATATATTCATGCAAAATTAGGTATAATTCTGGGCTATTGCAAAAGGCTTTGTTCGATGAATCATTTTTTGTAAATGTATTTTTCAAATAAGGGATATTTGACTTAATTTTGCCTGAAATTAAAGTTTGATTTTGCTTGGAATTATTGCCTAAGTGTAATAAAAAATTGATAGATAGATTAATACAAATTACTATATCTAACGCAGTTTTGAATTCTTGTTTTTTTCCCATACGTATGTATTGTTGTATTGTTAGACATACAACTTTATTTGTCAATACTATTAAATTCTTATACAAGTATTTTCACATCTAATTTTGTCCCTTGTAAATTACTATCGCTATGAAATTATACAACACCATGATGAGCAAATCACTGAATAAAAACTGAGCAAAACTTCATTAAAAATTTATTATATTTGGATACTTGATATAGTTTTTTCAGCACTATCATTTTTTAAATATTTAATTTCGTATAGTTTATCTTTATATTTAAATATATATCAGTAATTACATTGCTGCAGCATTCTCATTGTTAATTATTTTATTTTACCAAATTTTCAGAAAATAAACAAAAAGCAGTTGATAACCATATTAATATTATTCAATATTTCTCTAAACCAATTATTTTATATTATTAATACAAATATTCGTTATATCACACGACTTTACCGACCCATGGGTCTGTAGAGTCACATGTTTATAAATCTAATATTTTAACCTTTTGCAATAAAATCTCATTAAATTCAGGAGTCTTATGATAAGCATTGTCATCATTTAAGAGATCTTTGAAAAATCGATCATATTTAGTATTTTCAGTTCTCATTAAATATCTTGAAGTGAGACCAGATTCAACAAGGATATTTGCTGGGCAATAAGTTATATGAAACAATTTAATCAGTCTTCAGGTGCCAATCCAGTACCTTAATTCTTGCCTTACTTCTATGTTTAACATCGATTTTATTTTATCACACACATGCTTGCGTAAAGTTTTATGACTAGGAGATATTTTCATTGAATTTTTGTATTCATCTACCATTAGTGATAAATAAAGTTCTCAGAGTTTGTATAGCAATTTTAACAAATTCAATTCAACTTTACATCTTGTTGAATTAAGTTTATCATATTGTGTCTTCTACCCTTGAAGATAAAGATTCAGCGATTTATTCTTCAACGAATAAGTAGTGATAGTTTTGATTGATAAATGAATATTATTATCATCAAAATTAAAAAGATCATCGAAATTCATGGTGAAAAAATTTTTTATCGAAGAGTTTGTTGAGAAGAGTTGGTCTTTATATATTTTTAATTGATGTTTCATAATATTATCGAATTTGTCTTTAGAATCTTGGCCTTATTGTTTTCAGTTTTATTAACAGTGACTTCAGTAGAATTTTCTAACATATAATTTAGATTAATCAATTTTTAGTTAAATACTGCAAATACAGTCATAAAATATATACTGTTAGAATCAGATTCTGAAGGAATATGTTGTACACGTTTAGTTGAACTTTCTGAAACATAATCTGAATTAATCTTTATTTATATCATAATATAATAATATAATAATACAAATCATACCGGATTCTGAAGAAGAATAGTGTCATTTTCTCTTTAAATCTTTACTTCTAACAATGACTTTCCCAGTTGAACTTTCACAATCTATAATAAATATAATAATAAAATGAAATCAGATTATATACGTAGTTTCTCTCTAATTTATTACTTATGATGTTATGCAGAATTTTATACTTTATATAGCGTATAGCATATCAAAAGGTAAATAGCATAAGCAAAGAATAATTCATTAAATTTGCATATTATAATTCATACTTTCATACTGAGTTATTATCTACTAAAACAATTGGTACTAAGTATGAAGATGTATTTTCAATTTCCATTTCAGGCTTATGCTTTAAATAATAAAAAATATTTAAACTTCTTATTCACCAAATTTATCATTGATAATGCCAATTTACTACTTGATTATTATTTGATAGTAGATTTTTTTGATTGTTGATAATTGACAAAATTGCTTGCACATCCTTAATTAAGATATAAAAAAAAAAAATAAGTGAATATCTGTATTAAAAGAAAAAAAGTCAAGCTGGTAATAATTGCTACTAACATTTCTATCACTATCCTTTTCGACATTATTAGAGTAAGAAAGGGTTGTGTTTCTACTAGAACTATCATTTCGAATTAGAGGTGGCTTTAAAAAATTGTTTTGTTAGTATGTAATAATCATTAATAAAATTAACTTAATTATAACATTTATCAATATTTCGCTAATGCTTGGTAAAGAATTATCTGTCAAATCTGAAGAAATGCGCTCTATGGAATCATCAACATGATTATAATTAACCTTTAATTTGGAATAGGTTAGAAATATTACAATTAACTACAATTAACTATAAACTATATGATGTTAATGTATATTTATTCACCTTATTAGTTTTTGTTTTATTTTTCTTAATTTTATTTGAAGCATTGATAGAGTCACTTTTTGTCAAAATTGAAGTTAATGTGTCAAATCTTTGTTCTTTAGCTTCTTCGGCCGAATCTAAATACTCATCAGATAGTGAGTTATCATATTGTAATGATTCTTTTAATTATTTAATATTTTCATTGTATATAGTTTCAGTATATAGTTTTCAATATTCCTTAATTTTTCAATTAGTAATTCTCTAAGTGCAGTTTTAACCTATACTAATATTCTTTTTTTTGACTTGACAATATAGTTATCCAATTGTCATTTACCTGAACTTTAGATTTCAAAACTTGTACTTCATTCTCTTGACTTTTTTCATTTGCATTAGATGGGTCCTAAAATTTTTTTATTTTAATACTAAAAGTGATATATATATTAAAATTGCTAATAAATTCTTAATGCATAATTTAAAGATTTTTTTACAGAAACAGATGTGCCTGTATCGTCTGAAAGGTTTGATCCTTTAATTGCATTGTCTTCATCTATATCAAAGCTAGAGCTTTGAGCTACACTTTTTTCAATTGTTATTTCTGATGTGTTTAATTGCTTTTTAAAATTTTTTATATTAATATTATCTAATAATTCTTTTTTGATTTGAACGCCCAGTTATCAATTTACCTGAAAATTAGAGTCCAAAACTTGATTTTCATTTCTTTGATTCTTTTTGATTGCATTATACGATTGGTCCTAAAAATTTATTTTTGTTACTAAAAATAAGATATCTACTATATTAAGTTGCTATACAAATTATTAATAATTATATCACTTTCTTCATAGTTTAATAGATATTTAAAAATATTCTTTGCAAATATAAATTTTGTAGCAGAAAAAATGCTTAGATATCAAGACCCAAATTTAAAAAGCAATAATTGAATATAAACAAGAAAATTTCTTACTTTATTTTTTTTGAAACCTTAAAACATTTATTTATTTGTTGTTTTTCTATCTGTTGAGCTGTTTTTGCAACATCGGATTCAATTATATTTGCATTTGCTTGGATACCATCATCGATTTCCTTTGTTTAAAAAATAATAAAATAAGTAAATAAATGACATGATTATTAATAAAAACTTAATTAGTGATTTCCCTTGGGCTCAGATTTTCAAATTTTTATTCCGAGAGTATTAAAAAATATCGATTATTTAAGGTACCTCCTCGTCAATTGCAATAGAACTTTTTCTTGCTAATTCATTTCTTATATTTCTATAATTATTTTTGTTTAACAGAACTGCTTCTAGTTCATCCAAAATTATAATTTTACTAGTGTTATTATCTAAGACAACTTTTGCTGACAGTATTGAATCATCGAAAGTGATATTAACAACTTTTCCATTAGTTGCTATCCAAATTAGTTTAATTGAGGCTTTAATAATCTCTTTATTGTCCTCTATAGTTTCAAACATTGTTTTTTAAAGATAAAAGTGCAGGTTTTTTGACACTAGTACAAAGTATTCTGGTACGCTTATGCATATTTTTATTTATTTAATTTTACTATGATCTTATTAAACTAATAAATTGATGCTGAGTCTATTTAATTAAAAATTTAATAATAGTGATACGTATCAACTGACATAACTTGATAGATACATATACTAAATCAATATAAATTACTCAATGATGGGATTCTTTTAAACGTTAATAAAGTTTATTTATACTCTAATTTTGCCAAATTTATATTTGATTTCTGCCTAAATTTAATTCTGCAAAAATTAAACTAAAACTCTGCCCAAATTAAACTATAATCTAACTCATTATTAAAATTTTTTTTTACCCCATTTTGATTGAAAGTAGTGAGCTTAAAGCTCGTCAGATATTTAATCGCGAGGTGATTGATCGTTGATCGTCAAGATCTGTTAAAATTAAAATCTTTAGATAAAAATATTTTATAAAAATTATTTTGCAGGTTTTACAGTTGAAGGGTATAAATTTTACATCCATTTATATTTTCTTTTTCAATATCCACGTTTGTTGCTGGCATTTTTGGTTAAAAAAATACTGTACAAAGATTTAATTGGACTCGATAAATATGGTATGTGGTAGCATTTATGTTAATTGATATTCGTGATCACTAATGTTGATCTTTGTAGAGGTTATCTATGAAGAATGTATGATGCTCGTTGATTTTTATATGGAAGGGTGGCACCCGGAGTGGGTGAATGCGAGAACTTTAAATCTTTTCGAATTTTTCAACCTTCCTTTCCCGCTTCCGGGATGGTGAGAACAACAAAGACTACGACAGTAGCAGCAACACCACCAACAATATCACCAGCAACAGCAACAACTACGACAGCAACAGCAGCACTACCAACAATATTACTAGCAATAGCAACAACTATGACAGCAGTAGCAGCACCACCAATAATATCACCAGCAACAGCAACAACTACGACAACGACAGCAATTAGAACAATACAAAAAAGAATTAACAAATTTAATATCTGAAAAAGAAGATAAAATAAAAAAAATAAAAAACATAGACGATATGCTTTGAATATCATATTCTGATTCTTCAGAATTTATATCATTGTACAAAGCTAGAAACGATTATTTAACAATTAATCAAAATATAATAAATAATCGAATGAAGATTATAGACGGTTGTATAAAGGCTATAAACAAAAAAATTGAAATAATATTGTATCAGTTCTTTGATTTGTTAGAAAAACACGAATCAAAATGTAATATATGTTTAGAAGTAGGAACTACTTTTAAATGTTTAAAATGTGTTTTTCATTCTCATTCTGATTGTTTGATACAATAGTACAAAGTTTGTGATGCGTTACAATATCCAGGTTGTAGATTTGATTTGTAAATTTTTTATTTGTAACTATTTTTTATTAATAAATTAATTCTACAAGTTCATTAAAATTATTTTAAAAAAATTTTATTAAATTGGTAAAGTTTAATTATTCTTGTTTAAAGTTATATGTAATCCATGGATTTATATGTTCTTGATTTTATCTTTTCATTTTTGTACAATTTGTGGGTTTGTAAATTCTTATATTATGATTTTGTTTTTTTTTAAAACTTTTATAGAAAAAAAAAAAGTTCTATTTTTTTGTTCACACTCATTGCAACAAATGTTAAGGTCAACATATTGGTAGAGAATTCTAAAGGCCCTACGAAATTCATTAATAATCCTTTTAAAGCTAACATGATTTATACCATTTCTAAGATATCTTGATGTGTTAAAAGGTTCTACATATAGATTCTAATGACCCCGAAGAGATATGATAAAAAAAACAAATACATTCGACAAAAACGTATGTAAGTATAGTATATATCTACTAATAACTATTACTTAAACTAAATACTTTGATAATCATCTGTAGGGTAATGACTTTACTATTATAAGCAAAACTAAACGGATGTAATTGTTACGGCTGATGCTGATACTGAAGTTTGGAATTTCTATTTGAAATATTTAAACGAAATTTTAAATTCTTATTGATTGTCGTTAGAGCAAATTTTTTGTTTATACGATAGTTTTGTATTATTTATTTCCTGGGAGGTAGAAATTAGAGCAGAGGTTACTGATGATCATAGCATGTGGGATGGCCTTTTGGGCCATCCTATGTGATATAATCATCAGTAACCAATCCCCAGGAAATAAATAGGTAATCCCAGGAGCATGTCACTAGATATTAATCAGACCACTATATCATTATTTTTACATGTGTTTCCATATTTATATTTGTATTGTGCTTTACTGACTTTTTAGCTTCGCTTTATTTTTTTTTTATTTATATCATTTTTTACTGTTTTACTTTTTTTATCGCCTTTGCTTTTTACTTCAAAATTTAACTTTTTTCAAGCTTTTACTTTCGCTTTGTTCCTATCGTATCTTTTTTTAGCTTCATTTTACTGTACTTAATTCACTTTATATAATGAACATAAAAAAAGAAAATTATTCAAATAAAAATTATGTATAAAAAATTAGAGTTTTCCTGATGATCTATATGAGACCAGGAATTTTTCATAGAAAGATTCCCGGTCACAATATGATTATTATAAATATGGTTAATCACGTGTAAAAAATAATAATGAAGGTAGTCATGAGTGACACTTAGTGCGACAAGAGATTAATATCAAAATTTTGCGTTGCTAGAACCCAAGAGGTTGTTTCATATTTAATTTTGTCTGAAAATATATTTTGATTTTATCTGGAATTATACTTGAAATTAAAATTTAATTTTTCCTGGATTTATGCATAATTTTGCCCAGAATTATACTTAATTTTCCCGTAATTTTGCTTAAAATTATATTTTAATTTTATCTAATATTATCAGAACTCTAGTTATTATTTTTTTTATGAAAAAGCTTCAAACATTGAAATAATGTTAATGAACTTTAATCGTACCATTGTGAAAATGCAATATTTGTAAATTGAATAAAAGTTCTTTAATATTTAATTGCGAATAGGAAATTGGTATCTAATTTAATAACAAGTTTTACTTTCTTAAAAAGCCTTGTTTCTGAATTTCTATATATTCAAAAATGTGATATGTATTGCATTATTAATAAAAATCTTACATGTTTAATTTTAAAACTTTAACGATTTAAAGATGTTTTCACTTTATTCGTGAAAATCATACAATCAATAATCACATGATTTTACAGACCCATGGGTCCATGAGATTATTAGTAGAGATGAGACAATTAAATTAAGTTTCGTTTCATTCTCTGACAGCAACTAGAGGCTGTCAGAAAAGAAAATTTACTCCTCAAGCAAGAAATATAATTCTGGTATAACTCTAGGCAAAATTAAATTATAAATTCAAGCAAAATTAAGTATATTTCCGGGCAAAATTAGGCATAACTCCAGACAAAAAAAGTATAATTCTGGTCACATATTGGGTTGTGTTATATAAATTAAAATTATTTCTGAGTGTAACTCCAGGCAGAATCAAATTTTAATTTCAAGCAAAATTAGGTATAATTTCAGTCAAAATTAGGCATAATTTTAGGCAAATTCATTATAATTTCAAGCAAAATTAAATATAATTCTGGGCATAGCTCCAGGCAAAATCATATTATAAATTCATGCATAATTCCGGGCAAAATTTAACTCTAGGCAGAATCAAATTATAAATTCAAACATAATTTCAGGCAAAATTTAACTCTGACAGAATCAAATTATAAATTCAAGCATAATTTTAGCAAAATTATGCATGCATAACCCAGGAAGAATTTTTCAAGCAAAATTAAATATAGTTCCATAAAATTAGGCATAACTCTAGGCAAAACCAAGTTTTAATTTCAAGCAAAATTAAGTTTAATTCCGGGCAAAATTAGGAAATATATTTTCAAGCAAAATTAAATAAATATGTTGTAAGAGGAAGCGAAATCAAATAATCAACTAAATTTTATATTTAAATTTCAAATTTAGATTAAATTAAATTAGAAAAATAGCAAAATTTGGATTGAATAATTTTTTTTTTTTTTTGGTGTTAAGGTGGCCTCTTGGCCGGCTCCTTTTATTCGGTTATAGTTAACTTTTACAATAT